TATTATCGATCATGTATTTTAGAATGGAGAAGAAGATGCAGGCAGAATTGGTTTAATCATAATTCTCACCGGTATGGCCGGTTCTATTAGTTTTGGTATCATCCTTGATAAAACGCATAAGTACAAGTAAGAAAAAAGTTGCAATTGTCTGAAAAAGTTAATTAAAATTTGTTTTATCTTAAATCATGCGTTGGAAAAATCAGGAATAATTTATATTTTTTATTTTCAGACAAACTGCCATGATTGTATACTTTCTTACATTCTGTTGTCAAATATTATTCGCAGTATTTACATGCATGGGTATAAAATGGATGGTGTATGTGTCGGCGATTTTCTTAGGGTACACATCGACATTTATGCACATATTAAAAATATTATTATTTCAAAAATATATTGTGTAAAAATGCAATAGAAGTTCATCTTTTAACAATTTAGTAAAATGAATTGTTGCTCTCACAGTTCTTAGATGCTTTTAGATTCTTTTTTCAATGCATATCAATCAAATTGTGATATAAAACAATTGTAAATTTTATCGTATTTATTATTTTTTTCTATTACATTTTATTTGATTGTAAACATCTGTCAAAAATCTTATAGGTGCTATGTATTACATTGTATTATTCGTTACAGATACTTTATGTCGGGTTATCTGATCATAGGATATGATTTGTGCACCGAATTTACATATCCAGAATCGGAAAATATGTCTGCGGGAATACTCAATATAACAACCAGTCTTTACAGCATGATACTCATTATATCGTTAGGATTATTAATGAATACGTACGGTGACATTCCGGTACACATCGGCTTATGTTTGGCTTTGCTGCTCGGTTTCATTTTAACCACTATAACAAAAGATGAGCAAAGACGACAAGATGCGAGAAAGAAGGCTCAGTATGAAGGAATCACGAAAATTGAAAACAATATCGATGGTGTTCCAGAAATTATTATCTAACTTATAGCATTACTTAATAGGCTTAGAACATACATACTGAAGAGATGGATGACTGTCGATAACTCCAATTATGGTGAAAGTATATTTTAGATGCGCTTGTGCGCATTTTGTACATATATAAGAAGAATAGTACCCAGAAGCCGCCATGTTGCCACGGTTATTTGAAGTTGTCATTATGTATATGTTACATATGACATTATGTATATGTTGCATTCTTTCCTTCGGAAATCGAAAAGAATATAAAAATCTGCATTCTTTTTTTCGGGAACTGTATTTTTTACTTGACATATACTCATTTCCGTAATATGTCACTTCAAAGTTATCGCAATGTAAATATTTGAAATGGCCGCATATGATTATGTGCAGAATGATACGAAATTTGTATCAAAAATAAGCACACCTAATATACTTCCACGATAATTTCAACATCTATCTGTTCTTGTCTGAATGCTTCGTAATGAGCATGCATTGATTACAGGTCTGTTCGCGTTGCTTGCACTTTTTTCACTCAACATTCTCTCACTTTCTCTCTTTTTAACACCCAAATATATATCTATCCCATTTTAAAAGCAAAAATATTTTGGGGATTTTAAACGACGCGAATAGACCTATGTAATGTTAAGAGTGTTATATTTTCACCTTTCTCTCTTAGAAGATATACATATGTACGTTCAAAGCTCGCATATAAATCACGCACAAACGCACAGCAAACAAGCTTTCAAACAAAGACAGATACATGTTGGAGACACTTTTATTACATTGGTCAGATATGGTATGGCCCTTCACTGTATGTACTATGTTAATAGGCATAATATTAAATCGAATAATATAATATTAAATCTTTCGATGCTAATAAAAGTAATAAGTATCTAAACTGATATAATTTTATTCGTTCTAATTTTTATCAATATTTCACCTCCTAAATAATACATTAGATACAATAAATCGCTAAAAATTAATCTTACATTATGTGCGCAGATGAATGATTATACGTTGCTTTTTATGAGATTCGTATATTAAATCTTTTTTTCTTTAAAAGGAACTTTTGCCAACATGTAATATAGCATACTTTCATATTGCTTCTACCATAAAACGAGATTACTCCAACAAGATTAACTTTACAGTATGGTAGAAAAAAGAATTTAACTTCACATAGTATCCTTAACAAAATAAGCAATGAGAATCTTGAAATTAAAGCTTGATAATCCTTCTTCTTAAAAATTATAAATGATCTACCAATTTGTCTTAACTTTTAATTAACATTTTGATATAATATTTCGTTTTATATTATTTGATATTAATATTTCGCATGAAATAATTAATTTAAAATAACAAACGACCATCACCATAACAGGTACGTCGCTTTTAATATTTCCAAAAATCTTTTGTTTATTTTTATACAAACATTTAACACAAAAAATAACATAAATCATATATTGTGAAAAATGAATTTTAAATAAAATATGAACACAATATAAATGATAAAATGGTCATATTTCAATAAAATTTAAAAATATATTTTTGAGCAATTTAAATATGAATAAAAATTCATATTAAATATAGTTAAACAATGATAAAATATATATAAATTTCTCATATTTTACACAACGTTTAAAACATACGTCACATAAAGCTTAAAGTTTATCGGTAATCGTTAATCACAAAAGAAAAAATATATTTGTTATGTAAACATTATTTTCCCTGCGAAACACTATTTTCACTGCGAAACAATATTTTCTCTGTCAGAATCTTTTTTCTCTCTCTCTACCGAATATCCTTATGCTAATTTTAATCTTTCATACTAAAAAAAGTTCTATCTTATGATGATTGTCTTCAAACATCTAGTCTAAAAATAATATAGGTACGCAAAAGCCATATGGATTCCGCCGCGCGCATATCGATGAATAAAAGAAGCCACTTCGAGCGGATCTTTATCGACAAAGAGGAAGACAATCTCAGCGTTGTTTTTAGATATCAAAGCCATGGAAATGAACGCCGCATAATACGCTGCATTTGACGTGTGACATGACGGACGCGTCTACCACTCGTTACTCGATCAGAATACTTGATATACTCAATCAGAGAACAAAAGTTCTCTCGACACGCGAACTATTATATCGCATGCTTTCGATCAATCCGACACTCATGTCGTCTGTCTGCGACAGCGTTGTAATCTCGATTTCGCGAATCGCACGATAGCGCTCTGCGCGCTCGTCTTTTCTATTTATCTTTCTTATCGTGCGAATACGACAAGAAAGTAAGTTGAACGTCAAAATTTTTCAAACAGAAATTATTTCCCTCCTCTTATTTGCAGTAAATATCTGCACGCAGATGTGCGCTAGCAGTAACTTTACGCGCAAACATTTCTAGATCTTATGAGGATTTTATATTTGTGCATTTTTGTCAAAGGCTGCAAGATAAAAAAGTTTCTAAATCTCTCTGTTCTATAATCAACAGGTTAGAAAAATTTATACGAAGAAGAAAAAAAATATTAGAAAAAGAGTCTAATTACATTAAGGAATTCTGGTTGAAAAAAATAGACAAATTTTCTGATTGAATCTATTATAATTCTATTTGAGATAATCAAAATTTTGATTAATATAATCAGAATTTTGATTAAATCAAAGATTAAATTATTTATTATTTTTTTTGTAGTTTTGTTCATTTTCAATTAAAAATTGAATCGAAAAAAGAATAATCGATTCCAATTTCATTGAGGAATTTCTCTAAGATTTAATTAAAATATATCTTCTGTATTAAGTGTGATGAGTGACAGTTGCAAAATAATAAGAAAATAGAGATTTAAAATAAAACAAGTTCAAGGCGATGAAAACCTTGTAAAAGTAAATATCACGAGCAAGTGCCGCATCATAAGCTGTGATGCGCGATCGATGACACGTTTCAGTCGGCAAGTTCTAAGTACGGACAAGTCAGAATTCTAATTAACGTCGTCACTCAACATCACTGTCAAATCGGCGATTAATTCGCGCGCCACGTTTCTGAATCGTCCCGAGCGAATTTATATTAGGCGAACAAGTAGCGATCTTACGAATTCATAAGGTATGCATTACAGTTGCGCGCATGATCTTAAATTCCAAACACGTCCTTAATTCACGCAAGCCATTACAACACCCGCTACTACAATGAATGTATTCCCGCTTCCATGCCTAAAACCACCCAAATGATGAAAAGCATTGATCCAGTTCTCACTAATAGACACACGTGTGCATACATTGTTGTTATCATCTAAATTAGTTTCCATTCTTAGAATAGAAGCTTATACAAATCAAAGAAAACTAAATAACATTTCTAATAATTATGGCATTCTTATTATTATGAAACCTGTTATGGACATCTATTATGAAACCTGTTTGAAATGAATTCTATGATCAAAGTTATTCCATCTTTCTTACTAAACACAATAAAAATATAGAGACTAACTGAACAATTTCGATCGGAATCTATTCCAAATAATTCCATAATTTAATTTTGATCTATGGATCTAATTTTGATTCTAAAATATCTATCTCGAACTTTAGAAGTGAATATGCGAAAAAAATGCAATAGATATCCTACATTTATCCTACATTTTCCACCAAGGAATATATGTGTAGGTATCTTATTATTATTTAAATTTCTTAAAAAATTTTTTAAGTTTTCATTCTTAGGATACAGCTTGTGATAAATCGATAAAAACTATCTAACAAACAAACTAACTTTTCTGACATAATTAGCATCCTTCTTATTATTAATTTCGATTCTAAATTCTAAGTAACGCAAAAGAAATGTAATAATTTATTCTGCACATATTAATATAAACTCGAGAATATTTCATTTCTCTGAAAACTCGCTGCCGTTGCTTCCGGCGAATTCGAACGCTTAGCGCTTATCAACATTCAAATCGCTAATTTGGTACACGGTGAGAAACACACCGCGAAATATATTCTATCACGATAGTAAAACGTATTTACAGATATCTGTTCATGTATACCAATGTATTATACGTAACATTTCACTGTGTATGTAAGCGTGCAGCAAATATGAAAATTCGACAGTTATAGGGGAAAATACAAACGTACCAAGCAACACACGTTCGATCATATTTAATTCATCTTACGTCACGACTTTTATACGGTTTCGTTTCCTCAAACAGAACGAAACCAACTGAACCGTATGTTCGACGTAAAATTGACATATATATCCAGAATACAACACAGAGACGTCATTTCGCCCGGTCGCGAACATTCTTAACACGTAATATGAGTATCATATTACGAAACAGTAGCGAAACGAAAAACGAAATCGTTTTCGTCTTCACCTTGTTTCGTATTCACGAAGCTTAGGCACCGATCTGATACATCGGTAGTTTCGCATATAAAGACAGAATTGGCGGTTCAGCAAAGAACAGTTCGAAGTTTTTCAGCGCACGTTTAGCAGCGATATTAACATCGGCAAAAATGAGAGAGACGGTAAAACACTGTTAAATATCAAAGGAGCAATGATAAATCAAACCCGTGAGTTAAATAATCTTTTAGAAGATAAATGCCTTTTACAAGATGATTTAGCTGGATTTTAAATGCTTGTATAGTTCTGTGTGAATTTATGTATTACGTATATAGTCCTTTAAATTGCGCGCCGAAATGATTTTTCGATCTTGAAACGCAAACTGCATTGAACTACTGCAGTAACATTACAAGTTAAATTAACTAACAATTTAACAATCCATTGTCCATTAATATCATAGAACGATCTTAATAATGCTAAATGACATATTAAAAATAATTTTATTGCGAAAAATATTACCTTGGTCGAGGTCGAACTTGGATTCTCTTGTATTCCGTAGAAACGGAGCCTTTTTAAGCCTTTAGACCATCAAGGGATGAGTATTGAATTGTTAAATTGCTAACAATTTAACTTGCGATATTACTGCGGTAGTTCAGTGAAGTTAACGTTTCAAGACCGAAAAATTATTTCGACACGTAGTTTAAAGGACTACAAACGTAGTATAAATTCACATAGAATTATACAAACACTTAAGATCTAACTTGATTGTTAAAAGACATTTATCTCTTATTGGTTGTGTATTTATACGTACGGTCCTATAAGATTCTTAGTTCAATATTAAATAACCTCTTGTTATTTTTAACTTCTATACATCAAAATCAATCCATTTCTGTGGTTAGTTTCAAAGTAAACGTTAACACACTTAATAGAAGAGAAGATATTACGGCCAGTGTAAATATATTGTGACTCTTAATATCTCCACTATTAAGTAGCGAATTCTTCTTTCTAGCAATTATTTATGGAATTATTTGTTCAGTGCAGATCACAGTTACACCACGACACTAATATATCAATAATCAATAGCCAGCCCTTATTATAATGCAATTTTTTACTTTCAATTTCAAAACGTTTCTGAAGTATAACATTTTAGCTTTTTAGATTTAATTATACCTACTTCCTCATTTTTCTTAAATTTGAGCGTATTATCACATGTATGTATTTTTAAGTATGTTGTTTGCTATTTAACATTTTATTTGACTGTATATATTTTGAGTTACGCAAATTTAAACAATAGCAGACTAATATGCCCTTTGAATATTGATTACTCACGTTCTCTTTTTTGAGGTTTTCATATCAAAAAATAATTATTTAATAATCAATTTGATAGCTCTATTGTTAATCTATACTTTGTACTACTATTTTTAGTACATTGAAATTTTTGTACTATGCTTATTCAAAAGTTGAATGTATATACATTTATTTGCATACATTTTAAAATGTTTATTTTTTTGTTAATTTTATAACCAAATATTGTTTTTTAAACAAAACTAATTTTTTAAGACTATTTTTATGAAAGGCCATTAGCACTCTATTTATTTTTTTCTTTGAGTTATTATGCAATTGTCATCATTTTTATTAATAGTGTCCTAAGTAATATTTTATAACTTTAAATCCAGAATCGATTTAACAACTATTTAATGAATATAATTGTCGAATTTTAAATTTAAATATTAATTATTAACAAAATTATTGTAAAATGTAACTGGATGCCATAATATTACCTTCTCTAATAAACTAAATTTGAATCAAAAGTACATTTTTCTGAGTTAAATTAACTCCATTATTTTAGTTACACTAAGTTGAGGCCATAGCAGTAACGAGAATTCATAGCAATAATTAAAAATAATTTAAATAGGATATAATTAAACATTATGAATTTAATAACGTATTTAATTTGTTCCCATCAAAAATTTAAAGCGTACGTTTCTCTCACTGCCGAAGAATTTTCGTGAATTAACCTAATTGTTTTAATTGTAATAAATTAAGATCATATTGAAGAAGAGAACAGCGATTTGTAGAAATAATTAAAAATCATTCAAGTCGAGTGTAATTGGTTATAATAAATTTAATTGGTTATAATAAATTTAATAGTATATTCCATTTGTTTCTCGTAAAGATATTCGACGCGTATATTTCTCTCGTTACCGAAGAAACTGTTAATGGTCTCGTTAAACAACGGATCTGGCACACTAAGGAATATCGTGAACAATATGATCGCCAGATAATGATAGTAACGCAATAACAGTATGCAAGTGCTTTTGCCAAGAGTTCTGATCCGCTGCTGGCGAAACTGCGAGATATATAGATAATTGCTTTCCATCATGAACAAAACGTTCACTATAACGATGAAATATTATTTACGAGATCTGAGTATTTTAATAGGCAAAAGTTCACGATAAAACGTTTTACATTTTTTGCATTCTATTTGCTAAACTAAAATGTTTTAAATTTCTGTACGAAAAGATAATAATTTATTTACTTATTTTATTTTTCGTCCATTTAAAATATATAAATATGTATAATGTGTGGTAGATAAATGAACAATATTAAAAAGAAACAACTTTCGATATTCGCGAAATATTGTAAATAAACAGACATCGGATGAACGGATGAAAATACACTCTGATTCTTCAGACATTCAAGCGCATGTCACATCATCTCTCTTTGTTTAAATTAAACCGATTCTCTATACTTTTTTCCAGCTCATCCTCGTCCTCCTTTATATCGGACTAGCGGTGACATCAGATTTATCAGGATATAAGCCCAGGGGTTGGCGTCCTAATGGCCGGCATTTTAATCCCTACAACAATCGATTGCATGCGTATTACGATGCTCCGGGATTACAAAGCTACGGACCCCCGGATACCGCAGCTATCTATCGCGACCCGTTATTCACCACGACCACGACCATACGGCCACGAACCACCACTGTAAAAATCACGACAACACCTCGCAGTAGAGAACCCACAACAGCGCCGAACGAACAATCCGAGGACGATTTTGAGACAACGAATCCAGCTCTAGCGATCGCGAATTCTTTCGCGTTTAATCGGCCTGTGTATGTCTACAATACCTTTCCTTTTTTACCGGCTCAGATTATTGTATAGATAATAATACAAAACGAAGAGTATCTGTATAGCGAAATACATATTGAATGAATAATGAAAATTTTTATTCCATTCACTGATGTGTATATATTTATATTAAAAATATATAAATCATTGCTATGTATATTTGTACCACACTGAAAAAAAATTTACGAAATTTGAATAAATATTTGTTTAGATAGTACCAATGGAACTATTTATTTACAGTAAAGAAGTATTTGTTTAATTAAATAAAATTACTTAATTTAAAAATATCATTTTCTTAATTCAAATAAATATTTATTTTCTGTAAGCAAATGGTCCTATTGATACTATCTAAATAAATATTTATTCAATTTTTCGTAAATTTTTTTTTAGTTTACAGTGATATTATATATACAAGGTGTCCCAAAAAAGTCAGGACATTTGAATATCTCGGAAAATATAAGTTTTATAGAAAAGAGTTTCAAACAAAAATTACAGGGTTCAAAAAGATCTATTTACTGGTCTTATTAATTTTCTTGGATGTCATCGCCAAGGTCAAGTCAAGAAATATGCCAATCAGATGCAAGAGCTCAATGAGCGCTTAATAAGCGATTGTGCTTCTGGTTACACTTTAGTGGCTGCGATTGATTTGGAGACTTTTCAGTACTTTTATTCTTATTTTACGTCTAATAAACGACAAAGACAGAATGTGATTATAAAGCACTTAAAGTATGTGAGCGTCCAAATCGACCGCAGCCTGTGTCGCGTCAGTGAATTAAATAACATTCCAAAACGTTCTCTCTGAGGAAAATTTTATTCGAACTACATAATACATGTAACATATATTATAACATGTCGAATAAAATTTTCCTCGAAGAAAACATTTTTTGGAACTTTATAGAGTGAAAAACATCTACTAACTTTATAGAGTGAAAAACATATATTTTAAATATTTAGCCTGTGCTTTAAACAGTAATATACGAAATATACTTTACCAACAACGGTATACCAAGTTCACACTAAAAAGATCTTTATTGACAGAGCAGGTGTTTAAACATCTCCACGGGGTAATTTTTACTCTGTAGGCATCTCCTTTGTTCAGGTTGTGGCGGTAGAGAGAAACCTGAAAGAGGTGGCAGAAGTTATTATACCAGCCTTTTTCCTATTACCGTCGAATCCGTACACTACCGCCAGTACATCCATTTCTAGTTTGGGAATTACGTGACATACATTTTCTCTATTGATAAAATCGGATCGAAAATAGATATGGTTCGTCTCTGTACTAAATCCTCAAGATAGAAGCATGCCGACTATCCATAGGAGAGATAGTTTAATGGGTTATTTGCTTGAAAAAAATTTTAATTTCGCATCTCCTATATATGTAAATAAAAGTTGTTGAATTTTAATAAACGAAATTGAAAATTCAAACAAGTTAATTTAATGAATTTTGTCTTAATATTTATCTTATAATACAATATGTTATAAAATTATGAAGTTTTATACGTTTCTTTATGCAAATTTCAGCTCGTTTTTACCAAACATAATTATTTTACCAAACTAGTATGTATCAAAGTCTATAATTTCTAGCAATTATAGAGACTTTTAATAAATTCAATCTTTTCTAAATATATATTTTTAATTTAAAATATAATTTAGTAAAAACGAGCTATAGAGACCCTCTACCACCCCCGCCAATTTTATCAGCGGTCCTCTTTTCTTTGTAGAATACTTAACCATAAAACTTATATATACTTATATATACTTACCCATAAAACAAACGAGCTACTAATAAATTTAGTAGCCTGTTTTCGCAGATAAGTATATCTTTAATTTATTTTTTAATTTTTATGTCTAATTATTTTATGGTATTCCGCTAATGAAATAGCAATACCTTTTTTTAATATTATTCTTTATTGTCCTTTATACAATTCGATATTACAATACATTATAATACATTATCTATTAGGTGTACAACTTTGCTTCCGCCGTTTTCCTATAGATGGCTTTAGCGGTAAGTGGTGGTCGATGATAAATAAATAGATCATAGACGTATAATAAACTTGGGCATCTGTCAACATAACCCCATAGAAACATTAGTCGATTTGTGTCTGCATCATAAAGTTATTCTCGAAAATGTCAGTTTACGAGCCAAATTCTCATCATTTGCGGGAGGTTTTAATTTTTTGCTTCAATATGAAGAAATCTGCGGCTGAGGCTCATCGAATGCTCTCAAATACTTATGCTGAGGCCGCTATTAGTGAAAGAACGTGTCGTGAGTGGTTTCAATGCTTCAAGAACGGTGATTTTGACGTCGAAGACCGGCAAAGCGGTGGAAGAGAGAAGGTTTTCGAAGATGCAGAATTGGAAGCATTACTTGAGCAAGACTCGTGTCAAAATCAAGAAGAATTGGCACGATCATTGGGAGTGACTCAACAAGCCATTTCAAAACGCCTCAAAGCCATGGGAATGATTCAGAAGCAAGAAAATTGGGTGCCGTACGAATTGAAGCCGAGAGATGTTGAACGGCGTTTGTTTGCTTGTGAACAGCTGCTTGAAAGGCAAAGACGGAAGGGATTTCTGCATCGCATTGTGACTGGGGACGAAAAATGGGTTCATTACGATAATCCCAAGCGCAGAAAATCATGGGGAGTTCCCGGCC